TACTAATGCATGAAAATCCTAACCTCAAAAAAATCACCCGTTATGTAAAATGACACGTGGCAGAAGAAAAAAAAACATCTTTGGTTATCCTTGATATTTGTGTATAAATATCAGCGTTCATTTATTAGTTATATTTGCCACGATCGGCACAAATTGTTTACTTTTCTCACAATTTTGTCCTTGAATGATGCGGAGAGGCTCGCCGGAGGGTGTCACCCATGGCACGCCTATGACGCACGTTAAACAGCTGAGGAGCGGTTAGAAGCCGCCCGCATGCCGCGTTTGTCAGCATGGATACAGGATATAAATATTTGCTAAAAGATATGTATATGAAATTATAGCAGAGATGTGTCAGAATATCCCGTTGATTGTCTTTAAATAAAAGTAAGCAATAACTGCTTGTTTGCTATTAATTATTAATGCGAACTGCTGTGCAGAGAGTGTCTATCTTTGTGAGGTGTCAGGAATTTAATTGCTATTACTCGACTGGTTCATATATATGTATGCATGTACGTGCAGCGCCCTTTCATTCTACGAGAAGTAAATATCACTTTTTGTATTGATTTTTTTTCTTGTTTCAAGGCCGAAGAAAAATGAGCCTCTCTGCCTGCTCCTTCTCAGATATTTAAGTTCTAGTCTCCAAATTCATAAATAAATTTGCTTTTATTCAATTTTCTGAACAAATATCCGCCCACTCATATTTAAAAAGTTATTGCCGCCATTCATTATTACCTACTAATAGCTTGGGTAATCTTTCTTTTGAAAAGTAACTGTTTTTCAGGTAAATTTAACCTAACTGATTTTATTTGAATAGCAAAAAATGCATTGAATTTCGCCGCTCGTTAGGTATTGCTGAGGTGTTGTTTGTAGAATAATAGAAGAACATACATATAGTAGGGTGATTAGAGGTTTCTTAGAACTCAGGTGAGCGGACACTAATCACCGCAGAGTCCTTGGTGCTAAGAGTAGGAATATCCCTTGCAAAGTAGAGGTAAAAGATAATAAAAATTGTGTTTGCTTGTTTTGGGATTGAGTAGATTTAGCTGCGATTTGGGAGTTTCCGTAAAAGGCAAAAAAAAATCATATAAAAAAATTAAATATTTTAAAAAAACTTTATAAAAAATTGTTTCAAAGGTTTATGTAAAGAAATATTTTAAATAATTTAGAAAAGTTAAAAAAGTTAAATAAAAAAAATTTATTTAAAACCCATTATGAATTTTTTAGCTTATAATTTTTTTTCTGAATATAAAAACAGTTCAGAAAAGAAAAACAAATTAGGTTTTAAATTTGTTTAAAAAATAATAATTTAAAAATATTCAAGTATTATTTTTTAGCTTAGTATGACTTGATGCAAAAAAAGTTTACCTATGTACACAAAAAAAAAAAATAAAAAAAAAAATATTTAAAAAAAGTTTGTAGTAAAAAAGTAAAAAATTATTATGAAGAAAATTTTTTGTATGTACAAATATATGTATTCAAAAAAAGTATAAAAATTCATTTAAAAACAATTAAGTATGAAATTTTGTTTGGGTAAGAATTTTTCGTTTGCAACAAAAGAAAATAATTATTTTTTATTTTAATTAAAAAAATGTGTACAAAAAAATTAAAAATAATTATAAATTTTATTCAGCTAAGCAAATATTATTTGCTTACAAAATAAGTGTTATTTAAAATACATATAAAATAAATTTATATCAAAAAAGCTAAAACAGGTTTGGCAAAACCTCAGCTCATTCAAAAAGTTATTAGTTTGTTTTTAAAGCTTCAATTACAATGATGAAATTTTATTTAGCTAAGAATTTTTTGTTTGCAACAAAACAAAATTTTTATTTTTTTTATTTTAATTTAAAAGAAAAGTGCACAAAAAAATTAAAAATAATTGTAAATCTTCTTCAGCTAAGCAAAAATTATTTGCTTACAAAATAAGTGCATATATAATTATTTAAAATACATATAAAATAAATTTAAATCAAAAATGATAAAAAAGCTAAAAGAGCTTTGGCAAAAGTTGAATAAAAAGCTCATTCAAAAAATTATTAGTTTGTTTTTAAATCTTCAGTTACAAAGAGTAGATATTTGCTGATAAAATAAGTTCAAAACACTCAGTCTTGAAATAATTTTTGGTTGAAGTGTTGCAATCAAGAAATTGGTAGAAATCTTGACATTTCCGACGGCAAATGATATTTAGTTATTTAGGCGACTAAAAAAATTCAATTTGCTTTTCAAGCACAACAAGAAATTAAAATTTCAATTCTAATTAAAAAAGACAAATTTTTAACAAAAAGAGGTTTTGGTAGAAAAAGAAAAATTTACCGCAAAAAGTAAAATGTTTTGTTGCTTTTTGTAAGTATTTGGTGCCACCGCCTGCTTAGTTAAGTAAAAGACATTCAGTTCTTTTTATAAATGACATTAAAACAATTTTAATTCATATTATTTTTCTTTTACAAACGTAAATTCGTATCTACATTATTTACATATAATTTACATAATTGCTTTAACTCAAATCTTATATACTACACCACTATCTAAATTTTACATTTACTTGCCGCATAAATAGCGTAAGATGTCAGTAATTTTCTAATTTCGCTAAATATTGTAAATATTTTTTTTAACTGAAAGCATACTTTTTTATATTTGTTGATATTTTTTTTCTTGTAATCTTGTTGAATACTTTCGTCTGTCTTTTGCGGTTCGTTTCTTCATTTTTCTGTTTTTCCAAATAAATAATTCCTTTTTTCTTAAATAAGTTAACCCGCAAATTAGAAAAAACTAATAACACTTAATGTCGGAACTATGCACCCACACACACACTATATCCAATTTTATCACAGCACTTTGGTTTTCGAAATTCCACAGGCTTGGTTTTAAGCCCCAACGGCTGGCTGGCCCGTCATCCAACCAACTTTTAACAGCATTCGTCTCCGTCGCCCACCAACCTTGAAGCTTAAGCACGCTTAAGCCTCTGTTTTGTAGGGCTTGAAGAGCTTCGGTTTCGGTTCGGCAATAACGGTTTGTGTGGGCGAGAATGAGGCTGCGGGACGCTTATTACTGTTGCTGAGGCTCACGTTGTTGTTGTTATTGTTGCTGCTGTTGCTGGTCATCAAAAGTCCAACCGACTGTGTGGCGGTCAGGTGATGATTAATTTCGTTGATGGTGGCGGGCAGTGAGTGTGCTGTGAGGGCGCTTTCGCTGCGATACAAAGTGCTATTGCCGCCAGTGATGTTGCCGCCGGTGCTGCTCTCATGTGTCACGTTGATATATTCAGCACTGCTGCTACCACCGCTGGATCTTGGCATTGCAATGGTGGCACCTCCGGCTGGTGTGCGATCAAATACTTTGGTGTGATCCGAACCGGCGGGGCTCAGCGAGAGCGTTGAGGAATTTGGCGATGCGGACGATTGTAGATCAAGTGGCGGTGTGTGTTGCTTTGATGGCATAGCGGCCATGGCGGCATAGCCCTGGTGTGGTGCCATGGCGGCGCTCAACATGCTCGGATAGCCGGCGGCTGCAGCGGCGGCCAGTGGAGCATTGTGCATAGCGGCAGCCGCAGCTGCTGCGGCGGCTGTATGTGCTGGCATGCCGTGGAGATGTGGTTGAATTGCTGGCGGTGGCACTGGACGCGCTGTTGGCAGCTGGTAGGGGCTGTAGCGGTAGGGCGCATAGTGGCTGGACATTGGCATGGCGGAAGCGGCTAGCATGTGATTCGCGCCGGGTCCTGCATAGGGCGGATAAGGCATGCCCACGCTGTTGGCGGCTGCTTGTAGTAGCGAGGCGGCGAATGCGGGATCTGAGTAGACGGCGGCGTAGGGCCATGCGACGGCAATGCGTTGACGCTTGTCCTTCATGCGGCGATTTTGGAACCACACCTTGATTGTAGACTCGGGCAGGTTAAGTTGTGCGGCCAGCTCGCAACGGCGTGGACGCGAGACATAGTTCTCTTTGAAGAATTCCTTTTCCAGGCGTGATAGTTGATCGCGTGTGAAGGCAGTGCGATAACGGCGGACTGATGGATCTGAGGGGATTTCGCCGCCGCTCGTGCGACTGCTGTTCAGCGATGTGTCTGGGCTGGAGTGGCATTCTGCAAAAGAGAGAGAGATAACAAAAATTTAGTGTTTTGTTGCTTTGAGTGTTGCATTGTGAAGTCGAAGAAAAAATCAGCATTGCTAATTTCTTCTTTCTTGGCGTCTTTAACTTACCGTTTGGTGATGGCGGCGGTGTTTGTGATTTCGCGTATTGTGTGGCCATTAAATCCACAACTAACGGCTTTTGTTCTGCGCTGGTGCTGTCGTGGTGATGTGACGCATGATGCGCATCGATGTTGTACGTTCTATATCCTTGCATATTGCTTGTGCAAAAATTAAAAACTCCTCGTAAATTATCGGAAAATTTGAAGCGCAGCTATGTTTAACACATTCACTATGTTCGATTTACGTTTTCTAAAGCGTATTTAGCTAGAGAGTGTATTTGTACGCGTGCGATTTCTAGATTTACTTGAGCTCTAATGACACTAACTGCCTCAGTGCATTGCCTTTTATAGGAAATCGAGAGAGCGGCACTAAAACTCCTATGTACACAGACTGGCTCGTCAGCCGCTCATTGCCTGTAATGCGGGTGTGTTTTGTCTCCCAGTACTTTTGTTGTTGTAGCTTTGCGCATAACAATGGCCGCAATAACCACACAGTGCAACAGCTACAGTATGAACCAACCAATGGGCAGGTCACAATTAACTGACATACAAGCATACATACATACATATGCACACATAGAAGGCAAAGGCAGAGTCAACAGAGAGCACAAAATTGCAGCAGGTAGTTAGGTACATAAAGCTGGTAGTATAGTGAGTTGCCTTAGCATTTCGATGTGTTGGTTTTGCGGTATCCTGTGGCATTTTTTGTTCTACCGAATGGATGATAATTCGACGATGACAGCAATTACGATCTTCGGAACAATTTTGATGAGCAAATTACTGTAGGTATCAGCGCAGGAGTAGAAAGTGATAATTATGAAATCAGTGAAAAGATGGCAATTGGTATTGGAACTCAATTTAGATTTTATTTTAGATTAAGAAGATGTTGGATGTTTGACTAAAATTAAATGAAATAAATATTCTAAATTAATAGTGAGATACAATATACAATTATAGGTATGTTTGTAAATAAGTACAACATAGAAAAGTGAGAGAGAATGAAATTGTGCTCCGGCACCCTACATTAGTGAGTGTTGGAGCTGGAGGAGCAAAAGTATACTCCCCAATAGAGTTGCCGAATTTCTTTGTGTTGATACCCTGACAAGTACCAAACATGTACGCAAGTTTGGTAAGAACAAAATTAAATCAAAAGCTGAAATTTCAATAAAAGCGATGCAGTTGCTAAATACTGTCAAATATCAATGATTAGTGTGCTGAACCTAATGTACGTATGCCGAGTTCTTGAATTTCATTATATCCCATTTCTAGCTAAAAATGTTATAATTATGTGATTTACAAAACGTGTTAAGCGTCGTAATATCTTAAGTCTTAAAATTTGTCTAATATAAATAAACGATTAAAATGGTTTTAGGGGATTTGCTGTGTATGATAAGAGCTTATTATATATTTTCCATCAGTTCAAAACATTTCGGTATAGTCAGAAATTCTTTAAAACCATTTTGGTCGTTATTTTATAGAAAACTTTTAAGACTTAAGATATTAGTATGCTTATTAACACGATTTGTAAATCCCGTAATCATAAAATTTTTAGCTAGAAATGGGATATAATGAAATTCAAGAACTTGGCATACGTACATTATGTTCAGCACACTTATCATTGAAATTTGACAGTATTTAGCAACTGCATCGCTGCTAACTCGCTTTGTGAATCTCCTAAATGTATGTAATTGTGTCTTAATATCTAATTTTTCTTTACCTATGCGTAATTTTTAGTATTCTGCAAATGGTTTTTAAATTTGAAAATCATACGAATGTCAAATTCCTCTGGAACTTCAGGGGCGTTTCCTAAATAAATAAATGTTCCGTTAGTAGGTGCTAGACCTAAGAAAATGAAAAAAAGTTTTTGACAGCTTTGATTTTTGAGGCTGTTTTTTTGTAATTCAAGTTGAACGTTTGTTTTATTTTTGACCATTTGTTGCTGTGTTAAGTCATTTAACAAAACTTGTATTCATTTTTCTTTCGTGATATCTTCGCTAGAAAATTACATGCATATTAGTATACCTACAACATTTTTATGATAAAACAACGCTGGTTACCACGGATGGGCGAGAAAAGCGCGCGGTTAACCGTATTATGGGTCTATTAATTTTATGATCACACGCATATGTATGTATCTATGCATTTTTGTTGGATTGTAATTGAAAAGAGTAAAAATATTTAATTCAAAAGTTTCCAGATGTTCATTAAATTATGATTTTTTCAGAACTTCTTTCATTTTAAAGTCAATCCAAATGAGAATCTATGACACCATATAAGGGATTAAACTTAATTAAACATAAAAAACTTCGGGGCATAACTTGAATATGCGTTACAATTGTTACGATATAATTTTCTTGAAAATAAAAAATCGATTCCAGACGTATGCAAGCCGTGTAAAGAGTGGTTGGTTTGTTGCTTGTATTACTGATTTTAATTATTTTTATTAGTTTAAAATTTTTTATACGACTATTGTTCTGAGAAAAAAGTCTAAGCAAAGGTAGTTCCTCAAAATAGGTATTTTTCAACCACATTGAAAAAATCGCAGGTGTACGTGATATGGAAATTATTTTGTTTATACGGTGTTTACATGAGTCGATTAGTTAAATAAACAGATGGTTGCCGACCAACTTTATTGAAAGCAATTAAATACGGGCTGTTTACACCTGGCGATTCTTGCTTTCAACTAGAAGTTGTCTGTTAAATCGCATCAAGTAAACACCCTATTATATTCCCACTCTTTGGTTTCTACGCTATCTAGCTAAAGAAAAAAAAAACCGGAAACTAAAATAAAATAAACATAACTTCTACTTTATCATTAAAGTGGATCAATTTCAGGGTTTGAAAAGCTATCAGCAAAGTAGCAAGAGCACTAATAACTTTGCTATTGCCATACTTTGAATTTTTTAAGTTTTGATTCGAACTGATTTACATTTTCTTTAGCTTTTAAAATTTGATTTTATTTTTTCTATACACAGCTCAGTTACAAAAGTTTATTCCTTTCGCTTCGCTTTTGCTTTCCTGTGAATCGTAAGTTTCAATAGTTCGTAGAACGGTTTGAAGAGCCAACCATTTGTTAATTTGTTTTACTTTTGCTTACTTACTTTTTAGCTTGGAACTGCTTTTGACCAAGTCTTAGTTCAGTGTATTTAAAGCTATTAACAAAAACGATGGCCCCACGAAAAAATAATTTAAGTGGTATTTGGGATCATTTTGAAAATAACAAAGATATAGGAAGAGCTATATGCAAATATTGCGATTCAAATTTAAAAAACAATAGAGCAAACAACTTAAAAACTCATTTGTAAAAACTTCACAAAATAGGAATAAACAATTCCAATGCCATGAACTCGACTATCTCAGCATCTCACATAATTTCGCCAAAAAAACAAATAATTAAAATTCAAATGAATAAAAAAATACTTTTCCGCTCGTACATTGGCTTGGTTACAGAGGATAGTATTCCATTTAATGTTTTGAACTCTCCCAATCTAAGAAACCTCGTTGATCCGATTTGCGATGGATTGGCAGAAAAAATTGGCAAGCGGTTTTCATTAAATGCGAAAAATTGCCAAGAAACACTCAATAAGGTTGCAGAAAATATAAGACTAGAAATGAAGAGCGAAATGAACTCCAGAATTTTGTCTCTTAAAATTGACAGCGCATCAAGGCTGTCTCGCAACATATTCGGCATAAGTGCTCAATTTATAAAAGACGATGAAATTCGATCTTTTATATTGGGAATGGTGGAGTTAAAGGGCATTGGTGCAAGCGCATCGAATAATTTGGCTTCAGAAGTCTTAAGAACGATAAAAAAATACGATGTTAAATTGAACCAAATAATTTCGATTACATCCGATAATGGGGCTAACATGATAAAAACCACAAAAACTTTGTCTGATTACTACGAAGACCACGAAATAGAAGCGCTTAACGGTACATATTTACACAATATAGATAATTTAGAAGGAGCATCAGATATTCGCGTTGAGCATATACAAGTTTGTAGGTGTGCAGCCCATACAGCTCAGCTGTGCGCGCTAGACGTGACGAAGGATGTACAAATTAAGGACTTTTTATTAACTTGTAGGAACTTTCCAAAATTTTTCGAAAACCATCAAATGGATTTAAAGATGCATTCGAACTAAGAAATCTAAAATTTCCCCAACTTGATTGCTCTACAAGATGGGGTTCTACCTTTAACATGATACAAACGCTTTTGTCTGCAAAAGAACTTCTCAGTGCAGTCGAGTCTGTTAGAAACAAAAGTATCGAAGAAAACTTTGAAAATTCTGATGTTCTTTGGGACTTCATGGAATGCTATGGCACTGTTTTTGATCCCTTACCTAAAACTATAATTATGTTTCAGGCGGAGCAATTGCATTACGGCAACTTTTATGCGCAGTGGTTAAAGTGCAGAATGTTAACAGAACGAATTGTGGAAAATAATCATAACAAAGAACTGATCAAGAAAATTGGAAATAAACTTTTAGAAAGCATGGAGAAGCGTACAGCAAAGCTTCTGGAGAACGAAAGCTTTAAAGCATGCCTCTTTTTAGATCCAAGGTTCCATCACATCTTAGATACCCAAAAACGGCAAGAAGCCGTTGATTACTTAAAGCGCTTGTGGGGAAAACTTCGCACTATTTCTGTAGTGTTAGAAAATATGAGTGCCGATAATGCTTTATTAGCAAACACAAATGCCTTCGAAGACGAAGCAGAAGAGATGCTGAATTCATTTTTAATGCAAAAGATGGATGCCACTTCTGGGGGTACAGTTTGTATTGATGCTTATTCAAAAATTGCAAATCTTCATTTGCCACTTGTGCGCAGCGATGTCAATATTTTGCAATTTTGGAAAGAGAGAGAACACTCCGAACCTGAGCTGTACGCATTAAGCAACGTTTGCTTCGCTATTCCCCCTACCCAGGTAAACTAATTTGCAATTTTTTCCTATTAAATGTGTATGTGTATTTAACAGGTTACCATCGAGCGAGCGTTTTCCTCTTTTAAGATAATTCTAACGGATAATCGCAGTAGGCTAAATCAAGACACATTAGAAGACATTCTTTTAGTAAAGCTAAACTCTGCACTTTTGAATAAAGCCATCAATGAATTGCCATTATTTGAGAAACAATATATGGAGAGCTTACAAAAC